AAACTATTAATAGAAAACCTCATATATTTGCTTCAAGTGAAGAAAGTTGAAAATATTGAAACTTCTTGAATTGTTTTATTTTTTTTATATATATTTAATATTCTAAAGAAAAAATGTCAATAAATAAAACATTAAAATATTATTATGGAAAAAACATTCTCTATACAAAAAATCCAAAATATTTAATGAAAGTTACTAAAACTTATGTAACACTTTGTATACATACCTTTATAAAAAAAGCAAACATTAAATTTAAGTTGAACATTTAATGAAGGAAATAAAAACTTTTAAATTTTTAAATGGGGAGAAGCTATTTGTAAAAAAGAAGCCAGTTTTTTATCAAAATTTTGTTTTAAAAAGCATAAATTGTTAACAAAAAAGAACATAGTATGTATTTTTTAAACAAATTTACTCAAAAAGTAACATAAAAAATATTTAAAGAAGTATAAATCTGTTTAATAAAATTTACTTAAAATTATGAATATTAAAAAAATTATAGATATTAAAAAACTGTATATTTTTTTAACATTTCTTATAAACACATTCTTTCAACAATATTTTTTCAACGCTTTTTATAACTATATAAACTACAAACAGATTTAATTTATGTGATTTAATTTATGACAGTACACCACTTAACTGACATCTTAACAACAATCTTGCACCCAACTAAACCAAGTCACATTATAGCAATGTACACCACTTAGCTAGCAAGGTCAACACTCTTGCTGTAAACTAAGCTAAATCACAACAATTTGAAACCATGCAAACAACATAATAACCACTTACAAACTATAAACAAATAACATTATATCACAAACATAGAAACACTCATTTATAAAAGATATTTACACACTTACAAAATATAAACCCATATAACCTTAACACATATAAACACATAATAATAACACAAAAATATAAATAAATTTATTAAATTAAGAAAAATATATAAATTAGAAACTTTACAAATACAACCTTATTTTTGTAATATTTGTTTAATGACCTAATAATTGAACTAAATTTTGATCAAAAATTCAAAAAAAAAAAAGAAAGTCAATAAAAGAAAGTCAGTTAAATAATTAAAACGTTATCAGAGAGATGGCGAAACGTCATGGGAGTTGTTAAACTTTGCTAATATCTAAATCGCATTTCAAAATACTTTTTAAAGCAGGAATTTTTTTTGAGTCATACAAAACATAGCACAATCAGAATAAAACACAACCATCTTTTTGTGAAATAACTTTTTTTTTTTAACAAGGCCTCTAATCTGGATAAAGAGATGATTTATCCCGTTTTTTACAACAAAACTTTGTATTTTTCGTTTTTTTTTCTTTCCAAAATAACATGTGTCGTAATTAATATAAAAAAATATAAATTTATATTTGTTATTGTTAACTTTAAAGGCTACCCAAATTTTCCTGTTTATATTTAAATTTGAATTTTATGAGAAGCTCTGGTGTGAATTTGATATTGTTTATATAAAATGTTACCTGGATACCATAAAAAACCACTGTATAGAAATATCTTAAACATCTTAAACCCGTAATTAATGTTTAACTACTTAGAAAAACAAACAATCAAACTTTTTAAAAATAAGGTATTAAACGATCTTGTAATATAAAGTTGACCGTGTAAGATGCAAGGATTTTGGAGATAAACACTAACTTTATCAAGAGTTTAACCTTATGACAATTGAAAAGAGCAAAGTCTTCTAAAGTCATCATTGTCCTCTAATTTAAAAATTACAGAATAATATACTTTAAATACAAAAGAAATTGAGTTGTTTTATTATTATAATGCATGAGTTTAATAAATTACCTGACTTTAAAAGTTACTTTACTAATTCAAAAATAGCAAAAGGTTCATCCTTTACTACAGAAGTTATCAAATAAAAATCTATATAGCTCATCAAGTTTAATGAAAATCGCCATCCTAAAAGAACTGAAGATCTCTTCTACTTTTTTAAAAATTAGCACCATTATAGCACCATTTATATAGCCAATTATATAGCACCAATTATATAGCACCATTATAGCACCATTAAATAGCACCATTAGCACCACAATAAATTTTAAAAAATTTTCATTCTTACTGCCTTATATATATAGCAAAAAAAATTTTTAAAATTTTTCATTCTTGCTGCCTTATATTTATAGTAAAAACTTTATAACAGTATAGCAGTTTATTATTATTTTATAATAGAATAGCAGAACTAAGAAGATCTTAGAGCATTATAAATTATAGACTATAAAACGCTAAAGAATCACTTAATGTGCAACGCTAAATTTAAGGCAGCAAGAATGAAAAATTTTAAAAAATTTTTTTGCTATATATATAAGGCAGTAAGAATGAAAATTTTTTAAAATTTATTAGGGAATGTCTTAAATCCCCCAAAACAACACTGGTGACAGCAAACTAAACCACTGAGCTATGCGTTTAGGAGAAAAACAAGCCTAATTATAAATCTTTTATAAGCTCAAGGTATGCTGAAAGTCAAGGTGCGCGTGTTAATTTTTTTGCTCTTAAAGCAATTTTTTAAAATGAATTATTTTATGTAAAAATATTGAAGTAAGCGAATAAAGGTATGATCGGTGTGGAATAGACAAGTATAGAAATGGTAGATTTGGTAAAGACCCATATTTTATGGGTTCAGAAAGCTAGGATATATATACATAAGGAAAAAGTATAGAAAAGATCAGTGTGGAATAGACTTACAAAGACCTGTATTTTTACGGGTCAGATCAGCTAGTAGTTAAGTAATTCAGTTTTATTAACAACATAAATGCACTTAATACAAGGGTAGGGTAGGGAATAAAAGGAGGGGCTGGGAATTTTAGTCTAGATCTTATAAAAGATGGAGAGGGGGGGGGGGGTTAATAAAGAGAGTAGTATAAAGAGGAGTAGTAATTTTTTTCCGGGTTTAGAGTAAAGTTGGTAGGTGTGGTTGTTGAGGTTTAATGTAATGTCCAGATAATTTACAATTTTTATGTTGCACTCAGTAGATCGTTTGATTTAAATATTTCAACATGTTTTTTAATTTTTTCCATATGGGGACCACTGATGTTTTTGAAAATCGCCAAACCGTCATCACGGTATTACCCAAAATCATTCTTACTATAAAACTGCTTAATCTGAAATAAAAGAAAAATCCCCACAAGTTCATACACCTCGGCGCCATCAAAAGCTCCCATTGAAACATCGAATAATCCGCTAGACTTCTTAATCCAGCTTGATTGATTGCTATCAAACAACAGTGACTTTCTGGCGTGGTAAATAATCTCAGGATCTATAACCAGACACTGCTCAGCAAAACTAATAGCATTTTTAAGTAGTTTTTTTTACTTATTAAGGGATAAAAATCAACGATATTAAAAATGAGAAATTTATAAAGATTTTGATCACTGATGGACTTGAACCAGCATATAACATCTTGTGTTTTTTTCCACTGATTGAGATGGAGTCTTTTTACAAGTTCAGAATTTATGTTTAAAATAATAACTTTACTAATTCTGCCGATTTCATTTTTGGCAGGGTTTAATAATTGAACTGTTGGATTGTTTGCAAAATTTTGTGGTCTTTTAATGTTATAAAGCAGTTAGATGATGTATTGATATCAATTTTAGTAAAAATGTTATGATTCTGTAAAATGCGTTTTGCTTCTTTATTTATATCATTTTTTACTTTTGGATCCGATTTTTTGTAAGTTGAAGTTACAGTATTGGTTAATAAATAATTGTAGTCTTGTTTAGATAAGTTATATAAATTAAATGTTTTATCTGCAAAAGTGTAGGTAAGATTACAATTGCGTATATTAGATATATCTTCTTTTAATTTTTTCTGGAATTTGCTATAAACTTTACGAAATTTTATGTTTTTTATTAGTTCTATTAATTCACTTTCAAATGCACACATATCAGTAATTTGTTTAGGAAAATTTGGTGTTTTTATTCCATAATTATTATTATAAAAGGTATTTTTCTTACTATTCTGATCATCATTTATAAAGAAAAATGCTTTCCACCTCATTCTTTTTATTAATGCCTCAGTTTTGCTGATTAATTGTTTTTTTTATTCTTTAATTGGTGGAATTGGAATGTTCTTGACAGAATAATTTAAGTTCATTTTTTCCATTTCGCAGACAACTTGAGTAGAGTGCTCAGCATACGGAGCAATTTATTGTTGTTTATTATTGTATCTGGTTGAGATACAAATCCTCTTGTTTACTTGAGAGTGATCAATATAATGTAAAGGCAATTTTTACAAAATAGATCAATATATGTATATATATATATATATATATATATATATATATATATATATATATATATATATATATATATAAAGTGTAATTAAATAGAAAAATACAACTTTATAATGGAACTAAAACTTTCATGCCTATCGGCAATCTTCAGCTGTATATATTACACAAATCAAGAAAAAACCCATTAAAAAATACAAAATACAAAAACAGCAGTAGATTGAGTTAAAACAAAACGAATAAAAAAGAAGCATAGTAGTAAAACTGCTAATCACCAGTGTAAAATTGAGCAAGAAAAAATTTGTTTTAATGCTGGCACATAAAATTTCACTCTTTTTATTTAACAAATTTGGGTGTTTAAAAAATAAAATTTCGTACTTTTCGTTTATGCATAAGTTACATCGTTTTGTTACAGGGTTATAGGCATCACACTGTTTAATTATTTTCCACCTAACAACCGGGTTCAAGTTTGTATTCATTTTTGTATGTAGGAATTTTAAAAGATTTTATGTGAAGAGCATAAATAATAGCATAAAATGACACTGAATTATCACAGGAGGTTTGGAGATTAAAAGATGAAAACTTGAACCCGGTTGTATATATATATATATATATATATATATATATATATATATATATATATATATATATATATATATATATATATATATATATATATATATATATATATATATATATATATATATATATATTCATTTATTTATTTATTTTAATTTTACAGGTTGAAAAAAAAAATCAATCTAAATTTAGCAAACCTGGTGGATTTAAAGATATATTAAAGTCTGAAGGCCCTGAAGGTTTAGTAAAAGCAGTCCGACGTCAAAATAGATTACTTTTAACAGACACAACTTTCCGGGATGCACATCAATCATTGCTTGCAACACGAGTGAGAACTCATGACTTATTAAGAATATCTCCTTTTGTGTCTGAAAAGCTTTTTAGTTTATTCAGTTTAGAATGTTGGGGAGGTATGTTAATTTAAATAATTTTTACATTTACCTAAAATTCCTTCTTGTTAAAATACAAAAGCAAATTAATAATTCTTCTAATTAATTTAGTTGCTACATTTAAAATGTAGCAACTAAATTAATTAGTTGCTACATTTTAAATTCATCAATCAAGTTTATATAATATTTGTTTTAATGTATATACATTTTTCGTTTAATGTATATACATTATTTTGTTTTTTCCAGGGAATATCTTTTTCCGGATATTTCCGGAATTCCGGATATTTTTCTCAAAATATAGTTTTTCCGGATATCCAAAATGTTTTCTCATACAATCAAGTTTATATAATATTTGTTTTAATGTATATACATTTTTCGTTTTCAGTGATCAGCCATAAAAAAAAAATGTCAAAAATGTCTATAAAAATTCTAAAACCTACCAGCTGAGAGTAAAATTAGGAGAATAGTAAGGGAAAATATGTTCTGGAACTTTACGGATATTTTAGACAAACTATATTTTCCGGATTTTTAAAAAATGACCTGGATGATCACTGTTTTTCATAAAACAGCCTTGCTTCTCAAGGTTCATATAGCAGCCTTGCTTCTTAAAGTTGATTGTCTGTGTTATTACAGCATTTATTTTGTGCAATATTATTAGTTTGTAATAAAATGAATTTGTAATTTAAAAAAAAACAGGTTTAAAGCCCCATTTTTTGTGTATGAGATTTGCTAGCTTCCAGGTATAAGCAAACTCAAAATATTTGTATGTTTTTATTTATGTCATATGTATGTGATATAAATAAAAAAAAAGTTTAAATATATATATATATATATATATATATATATATATATATATATATATATATATATATATATATATATATATTCATATATATATATATATATATATATATATATATATATATATATATATATATATATATATATATATATATATATATGTATATATATATATATATATGTATGTATATATATATATATACATATATATATATATATACATACATACTATATATATATATATATATATATATATATATATATATATATATACATATATATGTGTGTGTGTCTATATATATATATATATATATATATATATATATATATATATATATATATATATATATATATATATATATATATATATATATATATATATATATATATATACATATATATATATATATATATATATATATATATATATATATATATATACATATATATGTGTGTGGTATATTTAATTGTTGTAATAACTTCTAAAACACCTGCAAAAGAAGCAGTTTAGAGGAGCAGTTCACATAGCTTGCCATGTTGATTATATACTCTCATTCAGCTTATAATGAGAGTATATAATCAAGCATGTTCAAGAGTTTAGGATGGAAAAAATAATTAGTTATTTGGTTGATTTTTTATAAAATAATCTTGATAAAAGTATTTTGTTAAAGATAAAACTTGTTTAATTTAACAGTTCTTAAAGTTGTAACTATTTACTCCTTCAATTACAATTAACAAAGGATTGATATAAAATATTAGTATTATATCACTCGCTTTAATCTAGAAAGCATGTTTCTGTTTTGTACTAACTTAATGAATAAAATGAATTGAATGTTTACTATTTTAATCAAGCTCACATGAAAACTCAATGTGAATAGAAAAATGAATAGAAAATTACTTTACAAACACTGTGTGAAATAACTGTAAGAAAATTAAAACTTTTTTAAAGATTTATTTGTAGTAAGATTTATTTGATTAATTAATTGTAATATATTCCACTTGTCATTCATAATAGAAAAAAACATTCATAAAAGAAATTTTTCAAATTCGTTTTTGTATATTAGTTTTTTATTAACTATTATTTATCTTATCTTCTATGTAATCTCTAAAATAAATTGATAAAGTTAAATTAAAAATATGTAGATTAATAATAAATAGATTAAATATATTAAATAAAAAATGAATAGATTAATAATAAATAGATTAAATATATTAAATGGAAATAAATAGATTAAATAAAAAAGTTATATTTCTCATGTATAATGTCCAAAATAAATTAAATAAAATATTAAAATTAAATTAAAGAACAAATAAAGTTTCTTGTGTATAATCTCTTATTTTTTTATTGATTAAAAGAAAAAAAATGTGAATGGATTCAAAATTGTGAAGTGATTAATGAACTTTTTATAAAAATAATTAAAAAAAATAAAGAAATACGAAAACCGTTAACCGTTTCTTAATTAAGTTAACAGCATAATATTATTAAATAAATATATCAAAACAAGGAAAGTGTTCGAATCAGCAATTTATTCTTCAATACTAAATCAATAAGAAATTATATAACCACATTGTGATCAGGTGCTAATCAATCAATCATCAGTATAAATTCTGAATTATGGAATCTTTACTTACTAATTCAAGGATATTTACAAATAGTATAAATTCTAATAATGTAAATGCGTAATAATAATGGTGTAATAATGATGAATAATAACAATTCTAAAAATTATGTTAACAATAATATTATTATTAATAGCAACAATTACAACAATGCTATTAATAACAATAAAAATAATGATAATAATTAACATCATAATATTAATAATAGAAAAAAACATTACTATTAAAAATAATAATAACAAATAAACAATTAGTGATGTACCAATGAAAAAGTTTGATTGGCAAATAATAATATTTTATGTATATAAAGATAATACATTAATATTAGGTATGTAGTTAGCATAAATAAGTTGCGTCTATGCACCAGTAGTGGTTTGGCCTTTTATCTAACGTTGATGCCATGGCCAATGCAATTACTCTTTTTTGTTTTTGAATCTTGGTCGATAGTTAAGCCAATTAATTGCCATTGGTTGAGGCATTGACATTTGCTAATAGGCCAAACAACTACTGGGGCATAGGTGCAAGTTATATATGCAAATTGCATACCTAATATTAATATGTTCCTTTATATACATGCAATAAAACCTATTATTAGCCACAATCGGCCTTTTTCACTGGTAAATTTCTAATAACAATAATAAAAATAATAATAAGTTACTTAGTTAACAATAATATACATATTATATTTACATAATTAATCAACTGGAGACAGTTTTCAACTTATATTGATTAATAATGGCAAAGTCAAAAAAATTGTCAAAGAAAAATCTAATAATAGATAGCTGTAGCAAAGATTGTTTTTAAGCAAACTTTTGAGTTTTATGATATGCTTTTTGATGTGCTATTTGAGCTTTATGATGTGGCTAAATCATCATAGTAGTTAATAAAAACACTTAAAAACAAGTATCATTCAGTAGGCTAAAGGTAACTAAAGAACAGTAAGACAAAATTGTGTTAATACAATCAAAACAAGATCTCAATGCAAGAATTATGGTGTTAATACTATAGTGTAATTTTACAATAGTGTAAATACTACAAGACGTTGCCTGCGTTTGTATATTTTATTTGTTTGTCATTTTGCCAAGTAATCATTAAATTATTGAAGAATTAGCCCAAATGAAATTTACAAAAGATCATTTGCATTGAACTGCAAAAGAATGATCAAAAGTTCAGTGACGAATCAAAATTTGCATGTTTGATTGTTGTATGTTTGATGTTCTAGGTATGTGAGGTGTCAGAAGTTGTCTTAAGTATGTTATATGTTCAAAAGGTGAAAGATTTGCTTTTAAGTATCGAATGCCAACATTTAAATAAGGTAATGACATGTGATTCTACTGGTCTACTTCATTGCATTGAAGTCATTATGGATCAGAATGTATGTTTATATGTAATTAAGAATGTTATATTACCTCATGGAAAAGACAAAATGCCTTGTGACTGGATTTTCCAGTAAGGCAATGTTCCAAATTACCATGCAAATTTAATCATAAATTTTTTCAATTTAAAAAAGATTTGAGTTTTAGACAGGTTTTTGCAAACCCCAGATTGAAATCCTATAGAACATATTTGGGAGCAATTGTTAATTGATTAATTAAAAAATGATTAATTGATTAATTTTTTTTTTTAATTTAAAATTGTTATAATTCTTTTTATTCGTTTTTTGTTGTAATTACAATTTTAAGAAACAACCGTAAGTTATTTTCACTTTTTTGGTACCGATAAGAAATTTAAGCAGATAATATATTTACAGAGCCTGTCGAACTGTAGAATAATGGTAATCATGCTACTATACAGCAGCATGGTTGCCATTTACAATGTTGTCTCGATAACATTGTATCTATGTTTAAAAGTTTTTTTTTTTTGGAAGTAAAGTGTAAATCATTATGCAAGTGAAAACATTGTTAAATCAAACTTAAATTCCATTCTTCAACTTCAAGTTTTCTTATATCATTTAGATCACAAGTGTAAAATTTTTTAACCAAAATTCTTTTAAAAAAAATAAAAAATATAAAGCCTGAATGTTTTTTGTTATGAGCTTTGTTACCTGTTTTATTTTTTTTTTATTAAAGTAGATAGTAACAAAAGTGTTGCTGTCTACTGTAATAAAATAGGTAACAAAGCTCATTAAATAGCTGTAGATCATATTCCTTTTACAACTTTGCCTACTAATAAAGGTGTTTAAAATGGCTGGAAAGCTCAAGGAATTAAAATTCCTGATAATCGAGATGCTGGAAAGGTAACTGTTATGAACTATGCAAGCTCAATAAAATTGAAAATTCCTCAAAAGCCTAAACAAAAAAAAAAAAAAAGATTAACTGGAGAAAAGTCTCCATTTTTCTTAGTATTGTTAATAACTATTAATGATACAGTGTTAATTTATGTTTTTTTAAATCATGTCTGATAAAAAAAAAGAAAAAAGAAAATTATTACAAGTTGTATTTACTTTTTTTTAAACTTTAAGAATTTATTTTATTTTTATTAATTAATCGAAGTTAATTCATTAATTTTTTGATAATTAATTGTTAATTTAAAAAACCAATTAATCTACCACCCCAAGAGAAATACTAACAGAAAAATAAACTTATTACCAACCAAAAAATTTCATGTTTATATTTAAAATTATCTCACAATAAACAGGTAAACATAATAATAATAATAATAATAATAATAATAATAATAATAATAATAATAATAATAATAATAATAATAATAATAATAATAATAATAGTAATAATAATAAACATAGTAATAATAGTAATTTTAAACTAAATTGCTAAGTTTATAGTATAATAAGATATTTGTAGGATTATATAATTACCAAAGTTGATTTTTTTTTAATTAGGAGCAACATTTGATGTTTCTCTGAGATTTCTGAAAGAATGTCCTTGGGAGAGATTAGAGCTGATACGTGAGAAAGTACCTAACATCCCTTTGCAGATGCTTTTGAGAGGAGCAAATGCAGTTGGTTACACTAACTATCCTGATAATGCTGTTTTTGAGTTCTGTAAACTTTCACATAAGTATGGTATGGATGTGTTTAGAGTATTTGATGCACTTAACTATGTGCCAAATTTGCAGGTATGATTTTTTATATGAAGGTATTATTTTATTAATGACTTTTATAACAAAGTTTGTGACAAGTGTTCTACAGCACAAAATAAAAAGCAAAAAACAAATCAAATTAACGTTTGTTTTTATTTTTTTGAAATAATTTAATTTTTAATTTAGTCTTTAAAAAAAAATATTTTTTCTATTTAATATTTAATAATAAAAGTTTATACTTTTAATACTATAAAATTTTAGAAATTATTTTTTTGTGTTCTTTTTTTTTTCTTTTTTTTTTTCAGTAACTTCCAACCACTATTTAGTGTTGGAAGTTACTGGGAGAGAAAAGATGAAGATTGTAGAGTAAGATAATGATTGATAGACGACTTAAAAGATTGCAAATTATATAAATCAGGAAAGCAAGATGAAGGAAGGGAATTCTAAAGAACTGATGTTCGAGGAAAAAAACTAGACGAATAAGAGTTTTTGGAGCACATAGGGACAGTAACAAAAAAAGGATGAGACTTAATTGAATGACAAGTAACACGAGAATGAATTTTAGTAGATGGCACAAGAGACACTAGCTCTTTAGAGCAGTGCCCATTATAGTATTTGTAGAAAAGAGAAAGAAAAGCAACATTACGAGGATGTGATAATGGTTGAAGGTTGGCTGCAAGAGCAGGTCCAACTATGTTTACAATGCGTTTTTGCACTTTGTCTAAAATAGAAAGGGCATCATTAGAAGATCCGCCCTAGATATGGCAACAGTATTCCATACAAGGCTGGATTTGAGATTTATAGAGATAAAGAATAGAATCCAGAGTGAGAGCTCGATAAAGAGATGCAACTTTAGCAGATGCAAATTTTGCAATTGATTTGATATATGGTTTTCAAGAAAGATTAGAAGTAAGAGTTAATCTTAGAAAATGAAGGGTAGATGACTCGAGTGCATTACCGTTCATAAATATAGGAAAGTCTAAATTATTTTGATAACGATTGGCTGAAAAAATTGAGTTTTATCTGAATTAAAGTTCACCAGCCACTGTAAGCCCTATGCTGTAGCAGAAGTAAGATCCTTTTCGAGCTCAAATGCCCCCTCCAAGCAATCAAAGTGAGTTGGCTTCTTATCATGACAAAAATAAATGGTAGTATCATCAGCGAACAATGCCATTTTTGATGTGAGAATATCTAGAAGATTGTTAATGTAAATTAAAAAGAGTATAGGGCCAAGGATTAAACCTTGAGGAATCCCTGAGGTTAAAGAATAAGAAGAAGAGTGTTGTCCATCAAGGACAACTTTTATACTACGATTGGAAAGAAAGGATTCAATAATCTTAAAGATGTTTCCAGATATACCGTAAGAAGAAAGTTTATGGAGAAGACCAGCATGCCAAACTTTATCCAACGCTTTAGAAATGTCAAGAGCAATAGCCTTAACCTCTCCACATTTATCTAATGCACGATAAAACCTATTGGTTATTACTGTTAGCAAATCAGCTGTAGAACGAGAAGATTGAAATCCATATTGATGATTAGAAAGTAAGTTATTAGATTCAAGATAAGAGATTAAATGTTTGTTAATTAAAGATTCAAAAACAAAAAAGAGTAATGGGACAGTTGTTAGATGTCCAGAGTTTTTAAAAATAGGGTTAACAGATGCTGCTTTCCATGTATCGTTAGTATATTTATTGCGTGAAACTAATTTTTTCGCATGACTTCTAGTGGGGTAATGAGAATTGAAAAATGTAAAGAAATCGGAAAAAGGAAGGTCGACAAGATTGTTTATAATTTTGTAGGTCATAAAAAGATCGAATTTGACTCTGCGGTGTTCAAGAGAATCAAGTTTTAGAACAGATAGTCTCGATGCGTAATTGCGTAATGTAAGAAATATGGCATCTTTTACAGGTAATTCTGCTGAAGTATCTTTGGACGTTTTCGATGCAACGTATATCTTTAAGAAGGTAAGGACTCTACACTGGGGTGCAAGATTCTAAGATTGGACGCGCATAGACCTTGTAGGCTTTTAAGAGGAGATTTGAATCATTACTGATAAAGGTTTTAAAAAGTAAATATAGACGGGCATAAGCTTTTTTGGTAATACGAGAACAGTGTTTGGAAAATTTTGTGTCAAAAGATATCGTAATACCAATATCTTTAATACAGTTAACAGTCATTTTTTGAATGCTATTTTTTGTTGCCAGTAAGCTGTCCAATCAGAGAACTGTTTTAATGATATTTTAAGGTCAGCATTGTTATTTTCGTCTCTCATTTGGTACAATTGCTATTACAATTTGCTAATACAATTTGCTATCGTCAACAAACAGCTTTATTTGACAATCACCTTCAATACAAGAAACTACATCATTAATAAATAATAAGAATAAAGTGGGAGCCAACACAGTTCCTTAGGGTATTCCACTCTTTACAGGTACGTAGTTTGAGTAAGAACTACCAATGCAAGCACATTGGGATTGATCAGTTAAAAAATTGGTAATCCAATTTAGAAGTTCGTACTTAATGCCATAACAAGTCAGTTTGTACACTAACTTAGAATGCGATACAGAGTCGAATGCCTTTTCGAAGTCTATATAGATAATATCAACTTCCTTTTTCTTGTTAAAAGCTGAGGTTCATTCATTAAGAGAAGCTAACATCTGTGTACATGTAGATCTATGCTACATGTACACAGATGTAGCATAGATCTACATGTACATGTTCTTGGTTTTAAGAACCCAAAGTGGTGAATAGAGATAAAGTTATTAAGTTGAAGGTACCTTTTTAAACTTTTATCAATAATTGACTCCATAACTTTGCAACTAATACAAGTCATTGAAATAGGTCTGTAGTTCGTAGATAAGGAGGGGTTACCTTTCTTGAAAATCGGACATACATCGATTTCAGGAATAAGGCTAAGGATACCCATCTGGTGATTTTGATGACTTTAGTGGAAGTTTTTGAAGAGCTGATAGAACAGAATCATAAGAGAATAGGACATAATTTTAGAGTTATTCAACAAGTGATAAGCACTTGTTGAATAATTTTAAAAGGATAGATGACAGCTCTGGAGAACACTTTTGACTATAACAGGTATGTTGTCTGGGCCACAAGTTGTAAAAGAGTCTAAGCAGGAAATCACTTTAGATACAGAAGCTGGAGTGATACGAATGTCAAGCAATGGATCAACCTGTTTGACGGCTATATCATGTATAACGCAACTAGTGGAATCAAAAGATAATATTGATGAAAAGTTCTTAGCAAACAATTTAGCTTTGTCTTTAGGTGAGGTAAGTCTGAACCATACAAAAGAGGTGGAATTAAAGACTTGCCCATATTATTGATACTAATAAAGATTCTCCAGAAATCATGAGAGCCTAATTTTTGTGATGATGTACGAGATTTCACGACCTAAGAATAGCGGGTTTTGATATTAGACAAAACCTTTTTACAATGGTTCCTAGCAGTAATAAACAGACGTCTGCTTTCTGGAGAATTGTTTTGCTGATAGATATGGTAGTAATGGTTTCAATTGGCAATTGCAGCAGTACAATGTGAGGAAAACCATGCAGAAGAGTGAGGCTTGACCTGGAATCTTCGAGAGGGAATAAAGGATTCCATGCCAGCCAAGTTCCACGAAGAATCCACAAAGTTATGTAAGAAGCACATTTGCCAAAAGGAAGACAAAAGATTTCTACCCAAGGACCATCACGAAGAAAATCACAGAAAGAATCCCAGTCAGCTTTAAGGTAGTTATAAGATATACAATGATTAGGGGATTCTGATGTTAAAGAAGAATGAGATGATAATTTTAGAGAGATAAAACAGTAATCAGAGGCACCTAAGGATGAATGTAGAGAAACTGAGCACTGACTAGGATCAGAAACAAGATAAAAGTTGAGTAGAAAAGGTAAATGATTCGGGTTGTCTGGAAAGCGAGTTGAAAATTTGACTATTTGAGTTAGGGATTGAGAAAGGCAAAAGTTATGGGCTTTAATGCCTGCAGAGTCACTGAGACTAGAGCCAAGCCATTTAGTGTGATGAGCATTAATGTCACCGACAACAACAATATTGGATGATGGAAAAAGAGAGAGGGCTTGGTCAATTTGATCAGAAATAACATCAAGAAGAGTGCAGTCTGAATGAAGGAGAGCGATATAGAACAAAGAGAAAGGTGATAGAGTGAAGTGGTGCTAAACGAAAGCACATAAAAGAGTAGTCTGTGGATTCAAACCTAGTTTCCCGACAATTGGGTGAATTCTTACGAATGTAAATGCCCAAGCATATGATATTGGAGCCTTTACGAATTCATGGAAGATAGCTATCAATACTAAGATCACAAGATTGAACTTTGCAAGAGATAAGACTCAACAGAAGAAAAGTTACTTTGAAGACCACGAATATTAGTGAATGATAGGTTTAGCGAACTTGGTGATGACAGTGGTTTTTTGTGTTTTATAGTTTTTGTTACTTTATTCATTTTTAAATTTGTTAAAGAACTTGACTCGAAACATAGATAGTACTCAGTACACTGTTTAATAGCCCAAGCAATTGCCTCATTACTATTAATAAACCCTAGGCCGTAACAAAGGACTCATAAAGTACACCATAAGTACAAACAGGGACACCATCCATGCGCAACATGGCACTGTTAGGACTTTGTTATTTTTCAGCTGTTGATTTAATCAACCTCTCTGAGAGCTACCACAGAGTTCAAGAAACCTGACTACCAGCTCAGAACCATAAAACTGAGTTTTAGAACTGTACCCTCATTAGGAGATAATGAAATAGGTTGCCTAGTCATAAAAACAGAGACACAAGCAAAACCCAAGCATCGAATCAAGAAGATACAGCATTCAACATCCTAAACTGGAAACATTGCATTAAAAATACATCTGCGCTAACCTTATAGATGAAGAAGGGGTGCGAGACTGGTCAAAAGATAGGATTTGTTTACCCCTTTATTTTTATTTTGCTATTTTTAAATAGATGAACCCATTTATTTTTATTTTTACTATTTGTAAATAGATGAACAGTTAAAATCATCTGAACATTTTAAAAATATTATTATAAGTAATCTTAAAACAGAATTAATCTTAAAATCCAAATGAAGTTCTGTCAAAACGGTTTCTTAACAATTTTATACATTTTATGAAATCTTAATTATTAAAAAATTGAATATTATTAAAAAAATATTCTATTATGTTAGAGGAAACAATTGAAGTTTAAAAGTTAAAACCTTTAATTGTATTCTCAATATAAATTATTCAATAAGCATTAACATTCTTAATTTCAATCTTATAACTATTTAATTATTATTAATTACAAATAAATTTATAATTATCATTATTCAATAAATATTATAATGATTATATATTATAAATAAAGTTTTAATAATTCAATATATATATCATAATTTCCATAAAACATCTTAGCTACAAAAATATTTTAGTTAATTTTATTTTTTCAATAAATATTTTTATTATAATTATTTTATCAAATAACTATAACAAATAACTATAAATAATATAGTTATTTGTAATGAATATGTTTATTACAAATAACTATATTATTTATAGTTATTTATACAAATAACTTTAACAATTTCAAAGATAGCTTTAGTTGAATGTGCATTTTCTGTGAAATAATTAGGTAGGCATTGATGCTGCTGGTCAAGCAGGTGGAGTTGTTGAAGCTGCTATATCTTACACTGGTGATGTTGCTGATCCTTCCAAAACAAAATACAACATTGATTATTACATGAATTTAGCTGAGCAGCTTGTGAAGGCTGGTACTCACATTCTTTGCATTAAGGTATGTATTTATTGGGTATTTTTTAAAGATTCTTGGTTGAAAATGTTAATTTATAATTTTTTTTTTAATGTTTTTTTATACAGGATATGGCAGGGGTATTAAAACCTGAAGCTGCTAAAATTCTTGTTGGTTCTTTACGTGCTCAGTACCCAAAACTTCCTATCCATATTCACTCTCATGACACTGCTGGTGCTGGTGTTGCATCAATGCTAGCATGCGCTGAAGCAGGTGCTGACATTGTTGATTGTGCTGTTGACTCCATGTCTGGTATGACATCACAGCCAAGTATGGGGGCTATTGTTGCTTGTCTTCAAAACACAGAACATGAAACAGGTAAAATTAAATTATCTGCTAAAAGACTTTTTTAAAACCTAAAGTTTAGCTTCCTTGTTCTGGAAATTAACTAAACTTGTGTTTGGGCAGGCAAAATTTTTTAGCTGTGTTAAAGGCAACTAAAAGTAAAAAAACTCTGATATAAAACCCTCAATTTTATTGTAGGTAGGGGTAGGAGAAACTCATAAGCTCTCAATTTTATTGTAGGTAAGGTTAGGAGAAACTCATAAGCTTTAGATGGTAATTGTTTTTATAGGAGTTTTAATTTATTTGTGCGCTTGTAAAAAGTTTTGACACAAGTGACATTGTGTCCTTTTTACTATAACTCTGATATAAAACCCACTCAAAGTTTTGAAGTTGATGGTTGAGGTTTGCAACCAGACAGGGAAACTGAAGAGTCTTCAAAAAGTTAAGTGATTTTAGTGTTTATGGCTTTCAAAATTGAGGTTCTTCTGGTTGTTATCTGCTGGCTCATCTTTGAAAAATGTATTCTATTGCTTAGTGTTTGATTTAACCATAGCATAGTTTTCTTTGACAAATATCATCATTCAAATCTCTCTGGATTTAGATTGTACCTCCAATCAGTGACTATTCAGCCACCCGAAGTAAACATTCTTTTGGATGACACAGAGGTTACTGTTATACATAGATAACTTTTTGTAAGGCTAGCAAGTAAAGCTGGCTTTTTAGTATTATTTTTAGCATCAACATTCTTAGAGGAAACTAAACATCAAGAGGAAACATCTTAGGAACATCTTAGAGGAACATCTTAGAGAACATCAAGAGGAACATCTTAGAGGAAACTAAACATCAACATTCTTAGAGGAAACTATTTGCCATAATTCTGACAAATTGCAATAAACCACAGAAGTATATGTAATTATTATTTAAAGATCACTACTACAATAAATTGCAAAGCAATTCTTATAGAGAAAATCGCTGGGCGATTTATTGCTCATTGACTTTCACCTAAAAAATTGTGTGCAATTTAATTTTTTCTCACTTTTTTTTTGCATATTAACATAATGAAATTTTATTTCGCATAATGAAAAAAAATTTTATTTATGCTAATCGCCAGTAACACTAGTGCTTATAGTGATTATGTTTTAGGTGTAGAGTAACAACTGTTTAGAGTGTTTAGAGTTGTTGTGTGGAAAACTATTTGAATATACAAGATCTAGGGTTTATGCCAAACAAATGTCATTCATGGTTTATGACCAAAGACCAAGATGAATTGGCCACTGTCAATGGTTTGGCTTACAGCTCAGTTTTTTGTACATCAAATTACAACAACAGCACATTAAGAGAACAGGAAAAACCTGCCAGAAATCCGCTTTTCTAAAATCAAAGAATACAAAATAAAAAAGCAAGGAGGATCGCCTATATAGAAAAAATCTTTTGTTATGTATAGCATGACAAGATGGTAAAAATAGAACTATATTACTATCGACTTTTGTCAAATTAGGTTTCACTGAATTGCATAACAGAAGAGATAATTTTGTTATAGAGCTCCTTACAATAAAGTGGGCAACAAAATTTCACCTTTAAAACAATAAAGTGGGCAACAAAATTTCACCTTTTTTTATTTGCAAGGAAATACTAAATAGCTACTTATTGTATTAAAATTATATAAATAAACATAAGTCTAGTATAAAATTTATCAATGAAATTTTAGCAGGAGGCTATCTTTCAATCAATGTAATTTCAAAAAGTTGGACATTTAGAGGAATGGATTTTTTAGTTTTAGTTTATTTTTTCTAAATGTCATAAGGTTTTATGAAATACTCAAAAATGTAAAATAAAAGCACACAGTCCTATTTTAACCAAGAATGGCAGTTGTTGAAATTTGCTTCAGCTCTTCTATTGTATTTCAATAAGGAAATGGCATTATGGAAACCTTTCCAAATTGCGCAAATGTGGAAACATGGGTGTTAAACTATCTATCACATTATCTGTTTGTAAATCTAAGTAAACAACTAATAATATTTTCTGCTCATTAAAAGAAACTCTTGCCCCAAATGCATATACACCATTGACCATAAATTAGTGCTTACTTTTTTTATATTTTTTAAAGCCTGTTTAGTTAAAATTATTTTGAAAACTTTTCAACTTTTTCGATATTTTAATATTGCTAATATATAAGTATCATGTTTACTATTTAATTGACATGTTATTTCTTCAAAATTTAATTAAACTTATTATATTATAATAAATATTACCAGGGTGTAAACTAGCCCTGTGGGGCTCCGTCAAATGCGGTATTCCCAAATGCTCATAAAATTAAAATTCCCAATTTTAAGGTGAAAAAATCCCATTCTCCAAATAAAGTTTGCCAAATTGAAGTTAAATAATAATTCTGAAAATTATTGTAAATTAATTATTATTAAAAACTAATAGAAAAATAGCATAAGAAATTCTAATTTAATTATTTATGTAAAACTTGAAATAAGATTGCTGTTATTGGTATAACTACGCAATTGTCTAACTGTGAAAATGTCTCTTGGAAAAACTTCTTGAGAATTGATATTTTCCAAGCAACTTTTGGGATTTTCTCAACAACTTGTTTCTAAAATTCATTTCTCAAATTTTTCGCAATGCGTTCCAACAACAGCAAATATTATATAAAAAAGTTAGTAAGAAATATATTGCAATCTAAAAAGATTGCAAATTTGTTTGGTTTAACACCCGCAAATGCTATTTCCTTACAAGTTTCACCCTTTTTTTGCTGAAAAGTTAAATAACTTATTAAGTCTTACTGCAAACTCTACTTAGATTAGATTTCTTAAATTGATTTCTGTTTGCTTTTATTTAAAACGTAAATTAAATATGTTTAATAAGAAGCATGCTTTTTTTTATTACAACAAACTAGTACTAGAAATTTAAAAAACAAAAAAACTAGTTTCACTGCTTGCTTGAATTTAATTCGTAAAAATTTAAATATTTGAATAAATCATAGTCTTGATAACATTTTATGGCTATGATTAAAAAATATTTATTGGTATTTTTCATTGTAGCAATAGCGTGCAATTGCTTGCAATCAATATTCTTTTGTAATTAGACAACATTTTTTGTTGTTTTTGCTTAGACCTTGTAATTGTAACTTTATTTTGCAATGTGATTTATGTATAGAGAAAATAAATATTTTTTATAAAATTAAACTCACAATAAATGTTAAATATGAAATTGATGAGCTCATCACTTTCAAAACTTTTTTTATTTTTTTATTTTTAAAACATTTCTTTTGATGGCACAATTTATTACATGATGGTGTGCAGGTTTGTCCAAAAAGAACGTCAATCAGAATTTATATTATAATTAGAAGTAGAAGATCATTGGCTCTTGTCCATGGAGATTTTCATTGAACATGAATCGTTATATTACTTTAAAAATCGCCCTTTATGGCCCACCAGTAAAAAAGTAATATATATTCAAAAGAATGCTCTTAAAATGAAAGCGGCAACATTATATTAAGATTACAAATAAATCAAAAATATTATTCTTAATAATTAATTAATATACACTGAGTATTTTATAATATAAAATTGTATAATGTTTAATATATCTTTGGAAATTGGGGCTTAATATGCCGTTTTGTTGTAAAACACTTTGAATTTTGTGTTGATTTTATATTCATCTTCAATTAATGTTACAGACAGTATTTTATTTTACTTTTGTTGTCCAGTCAATGTATGCAGTGCTGAAGTAGGGTAGAATAAGAAAAAATATAAAAAAAACCCCATGCATCCCCGTAAAATATTTTGATCTCAGGAGAGGGGGTGGATGATTGGGAAATATTAACAAATTCCCAATCTCATCAAAACGCTGTATTAAATTTATTTTAGTGGTTAACACCCTGAATACTTATTATTATATATAATTTTATAATTTTTTTTAATTTTCATTTAATTTTTGTTTTTGATGTTGGGGAAAAGTTAAAGCTTACTGCTTTATTTTTTTGATTAATGCAATATATTGTCTATTTTTTAACCAATTTTGACTTTAATTTCATCTGCATTTATTAACCCTAAATAATTATTTATTACTTTTTTAAATAGTAAAAATAAAAATACGACAAAATTAAATAATTAAAAAGTTACAAAATGAATAAACAAATACAGCATGTAATTCCAAATTCATGGTTGAGAATATCTAAAAAAACATGTTATGAATCTATTTTTCTTTAAAAATCTTAAATTCAAATAGCCAATAATTTTAATATCGCGTATTCGGTTGATGCATGTAATTTAAAATATATAATTTAATGCTGAAACATTAAAATTTGGCGACAATCAAGTCAGTGAATTACAACATCACAGAGATTAACATTTATTAATTTGTTCAATAAAACATGACAGAAAATTATCATCAAACACTCTCTGCCATAAATTGAACAGTACTTCTCGAGTGTAAGAACTGTCAGAAATGTAGAAATCTGCATACAAAAAGTCAAAACTCTCAAAAAATAGGAAAAATTGCAAGGATTGCTTGGTGTAATTAACATAAAAGTTGGCCTGATTGCAAATGGCAAAATTTTATATTCTCCAATAAAATAAATTTTGAGATATGCAATGTTGCGTTATGCTATGGTGATCCCCTTAAGAGAGAATTGACATTTAAAATTGTATTTTAAACTTGTACTTTGTAACAAACCAACCAATATCAACTTGAAAAAATATACAAACTTAAAAAATTAACTCAACAAAAGCAATGCAGAAATGTTATTATGTAAATATATTATGGAATGTTTATTATTATTTATTTTTTTTATAATAAATAATTAAATGTTTTTTATTATTATTATTTTTTTTTTTACATATTTAATATAAACTTTCTTTCTTTTTACAATATTTGTATAAATAAATATAAACTTTTTTACTTATATTTCTTAAATTTTGTAATTTGTGGCTTTGCAACTTATGATTTTTTAATTTTAAAAAGTTAGTAAGTAACAAATGAAAAATATAATAAGTTATATTTTAAAAAATTGTAAAAAAATTTAA